AATGTTTTACGCCATATTTTTCATGAGAATTATCTATCGCAAAGTGGCAGCTTAAGTAAGCCTTTCCATTTATGACTGGATGTATGTGCTTACAGTCTTGCATTGCCTGCCTTTGTGAAAGTAGGTATGTGAGATGCAACCATGCTTGGATATAAAAATATACAAATGAGATTTTATACATGTGTCTGTTCATACTTCTAAAATAAAAATCTATTTATAAACTGTTGCAAACCTCCTTTGGCACAGCAACTTAGTTGCCTTGCATTTCCAACTGAATATGTAAGCTGTAGGAATGCGCAAAACGTTCCACACAAAAATTGCTCTGCACATGGAATAGCTGGTTTCATGTTGTCGATGCCCGAGATGAAACATGCGTGTTCCCAGGGTTTTCTTCCAGATGGGGATCAAATTAGAGTTGGTCTGGGCAAAAGTGGTTGAAGTTGAAGGTAAGAGTGGGTAGAAGCCAAGGATTTTGGTGGTAGCTGAGAAAAGGCAGGGAGAGGAAAGCATTGGCAAGATTTGGGAGCACACAAGACAGTGGGATAGGTTGTGTTGGAATGTACTCACCTTGTAAAGCACAGTCCAGGATTCCCCTAGCATCATGCACCTAAAACGGATGTGGGGCTTCAATCACACAATTTTTTTGACACTCCCCCTCCACCAATCCCTTGCCCTTTAGATTTTTTCTCTGAAATGTGGAACAACCAACACAATGTTGTTTCTGCCAAACTGCAGCCAATTCAAAATACAAAGGCTTGTGCTGGGTTTGAAACAAAATGTATTTTCAATTTTGTGCAGAACCCCTGTAAGATTCTACATTCAAATAAAGGTGCGTTATGGTCCTTGTCCAGTTAACTTGGCTTTGGTTCTGTTGTACCATTTTCACATTTAGATGACAAAGCAGAACCACTTAGACTGGCACTTTTCACACTTCTTCAGCATATTCATATAGAATCAATTATTGGTTACGTTCTAAAGGGCATCCGATTCAGTGAAGGGTGAAAAGTTGGACCTGTTTTTTTAAAAATAAATATAACACTAGCAATTTTCACAGAGACATAAGATGAGCCAGTGCCCCTCTCCTAATTTGTCAGTTTGAAATTTATGGTATGAAATCCATGAACTTGAACAAAAGGAAAAAGTCTAAGGAAATTGGCAGGGCAAGGCCAATGGCATTTTGTGAAAGTTGAAATTTAGGAAAGAGGAGGTTCCTATGTGGTGTATTCAACCTTCCAAAAATATATACAGTGGTACCTCGGGATACGAACTTAATCCGTTCCGTGACTCTGGTTGCAACTCGAGTTGGTCTCAAGTCGAGGTAAAG